AACTGTTGCCAGATAAATTGATCCAGCAGCGCCAGAGGAGGAAAAAACAGGGGTTCTCCGCCACAAATGTTATTACTGAAAATGAGTAAATATCCATGTATATTAGTATATTCCATAATTTCCATACCACATTAATCTATTAATATTGCCATTGACGCCGTCTTTTATTTTTATTCATTTATAATAAATAAATTGGTGAAGCGTCTGAGATCGCGGTCGAAACACAACGCGATGTTTAGCTACACTATCTATAGCGTCGCCGCCGTCGCATCAATTTATCTGGCAATCACTTTACTACATTATAACATTATTCGTTTGATTGTGACACCACATACAAGAAGTCAACCACTTAATGGCGACGTTAATGACAATCCTAAACCAGTGTATTGTACGTACAATTATTTCGTTAATCGGGATAATTGATTAATGAGGATAGATAAATTGCCGCCCAATGTGATCCAATTAAATAAACTCTACCATATATACATATGTATGTGTGTGTAATATATACACTTAATGAATAATTGTACAACTTGAATAGGAGTGTAAAAACTCACGTTTTCAAAACTAATATCTCCTGGAATTTGGACTGTTCCTTGTGCAGGACCTGTTCCACTTCCATGGAAAAACTTCTGCCCGGCAACAGATCAGTGAGCTCGCTGAACCATCCAGTCTTCAACTTGTCCATATTTAAGCACCACCAAAAGCGACGACGATGATGACTACTGGTTTTTTAAACTGAGAAAAAGAGAGCGCCGGACGTCTGACAGTGTAGAGTGTAGACTATAGGCTGCTATAATATAGTAAATACAGTCGGCAGGCAGTCATCGTCTGTCCCTCCCTCCCCGCCTCATGTGTAGCTACACGTTCGGTATGATCACCTGTGGCCTTCAATATAAAATTCCTACTGTCAGTACACAAGGAGGCGTTAGTTGGAAGCGTACGATGTATATGTATACATTTGTACCAGGGGTGACCAAACTACGGCTACCACGTTAACATTTTTATTAATCTGATAATAGGTATTATTCCTTTTCCCGTTCTTTAAATTATTTATAATTATATTGTGTGGCTGGTGATTTACTAATCGCTGGCCATCTTTCCTGTATATCTAATATAATATATAATAGTTAACTTGTACGGTTGATTGAATCAAAAACATGTTATATTTTATAATTCTTAAAAATATCATGTATTTACTTAAGACAATATCCAGGTCATTACTCAATACCGACATGTCGGCATAAATAGTGAATAACTAGTGGATACGTTGTGTAGGTACCTATATTATTTGGATAATATGTATTTTTCTGTTTTCATTAGCTCATAAGCTGATAAACCATAATTAATAACTTAAAAACATTTTTCGTATACGGACGTTTCGGCCCGAGATGATAAGGTCATTGCGCTCTACCGGTAATGTACGGTATATACTATATAACTAGTGGCGACCGAACTCTACCACCAGAGCGCGGTTTCCATTCCATCTTGGTATCTACTGGTGCCGACGATTTAGTGATAGAGTTACAATTTTATGTTGAGGGGCAGATCTGTCAGGTCCTCCTTAAATCAGTCGCCGTGACCATTTCTTGATATTATGTGTACATGCCCAGTCAATGAGGTCCTGCCCGGACAATGTAAACCTCGAATTTTTTTTTAACCAACTAATATTATAATTTAATTTTATTATAAATTATAATCATTACCTATTTATAGTATACATTTTTTTTTAAAAACAATCATTATTAATTTTATTCGTGTACTATAATATTACGAATATTTTGATGGATAACAAAAATAAATTAACAAGCATCATTATTTTATTTTTATAATAGATTATAATTTTATTATTACTTATTTATTTGAACAAGATTTAGAAGCATGGCATTTGGAATTACATAGTCTGTCTGATTTTCTACACTTGATTTTTAATTAGGCAGTACGATAAGTAACAAAAATAAGATTATACACAGTGTTTCAATAAATTCATAGTTTACTGCAGTATGATAAATGAATAAAATTAATAATGATTGTTTTAAAAAAAAATCAATAGGTAATAATAACTAAAATAATATTCGTTGGCTAAAAAAGAATTCGTGGTTTACATTGCCCTGGTAGGACCACATTGACCGGGCAATGTACACATTGTCCAGTATTCCACATTGCCCGTAACGGGTATGGTCGAATTGCACTTATTTTAGTCGAATTGCACTTGGGTTTAAAAAAGGTAATGGTCGAATTGCACTCGGGTAAAAAACAGGTAGTGGTCGAACTGCACTTGGGCTCAAAAAAATATTTTAATAAAATTATCATGCATTTGAAGGGCTTTTTTCTTTGCTGAATTTGAAATCATTCTCCGAGGTAAATTAAGTGGTTCTTCATGAATATGTATAAATTCAGACCGAATAATTACTTTAGAAAATTCATCTAGATATAGTTTTGAAAGACAACCACGATAGGCACCACGCCATTTAACACCATCATTAACATATTTTTCTTTCTAAAATGTATAATTTTGATACACGATTAAGTCACGGCCTCGTCCACTTTTAATAATTTTTAAACTGTTCATATTTACACATCGACGTAAAAGTGTGTAATAATTGTATTTTGCATAGGTCTACTTAGACACATAGTACACACCATACCGTATACAATAAAAGTATTAATCTTATATGCGTTATCTAAATGGCACGAACTAATATATAATGATATTAAATAAGTACCTACACCGTAGCGTTTTTTTTTGATTCACAATATATTTAACGGGTTTTCCATTTTAATTTTTTTTTTTTTGAACGAGTGCAGTTCGACCACTACCTGCTTTTTACCTGAGTGCAGTTTGACCATTACCTTTTTTCAATCCAAGTGCAATTCGACCATTCATTTGTAGGTAATAAGTGCAATTCGACTATCCCGGCCCGTAACATATACAACGGTAGGGATGTGGCCATATGCGGCTTTGTAAGTTCCCACACGAAACATAGCAGGTAAGGGGGTACATATGTAAGTTCCCACACTAAAAAAATTACACCCGTACGTAAGTTCTCACACGAAAATTTGTTTGTTTCTGTTCAAATAAAGTTTTTCGTAAAGTCAAATAAATTTATTGAATCTAGTCCAAATATATAATAAAAATTAAAAATATAATTTGTAGGTATGGTCCATATATTATCATATTATTTGTACTAGCACTAATACTTGGGGGTGGGTGGTAACTAGTACGTTACTGCGGTAACTTATCGATGTAATTAGTTTAGATCGCAAAAATCGTTTATTTTATTACTTTCTGGTTTTTCAGCCATGAAACTTTCTAAAAACAACCTTTTCCATCTCTTATCTTTATTACTTAGGTAACTAACATATATTGAATTATTAAAAAAAATTAACGTAGTTGGAATAAATCCAAATAAATTTATCTGATACTTCGAGTTTCAATGCACCAAGTAGTAAATATTATATTTCCGACAGCTCAAATATGGGGATGCCGTTTCCATTTGGGCCAAGCTTGGTAAAATTTAAAGTTTAGGGTATGCTCAAGAATTTAATTTTGCAAATAATGACTAAGGAAAGTGGCTGGTACATATATTTGGTTTACCATTTCTTAATCCAATAGAAGTTGGAGATTGTTTTATAGATAGTTTCATGGCTGAAAAACCAGTAAATAATAAAAAAAAAATTTTGAAATTAATTAGTGACGAATTACATCGAAGATACCAGTACGTCCCCCCCCCCCTAGTATTTGGGCTAGTACTAATTCTAATACAAGCCTTACTACAAACGCCCGCGAAAGTTTCCATTCCGAATTCAACTCAAATTCTTATCATCATCATCATCCGAATATATTCAAAATAAAAACATTTAAAAATGTTTCAAACAAATACATATTATATAAAGATAAGAACATCAGATTTCTATAGACCTCGAAAAATAAGTAAAAAAACAGAAGAAAAACAAAACTATATCAATAACAAAATATCAGATTATAACTTAAAAATAATTACACAGTATGACTATGCAAAGTGTTAGAGCTTTCGCAATAAACCAAATAAAATTTAATTTTTTCTTCTACTATTATCATTGATTTTAGAATCAATGCTATTATTATAATTATTATAACTATTATTATTTTATACTAATATACAAATAATATGTGGACCATACCTACACCTTATATTATTAATTTTCATTATATATTTGGACTAGATTCAATTAAAAATTTGATTGGACTTTTTTTATGCAACACAAAATCAAACAAATTTTAATCACACCAACTTCGTTTAAGTTGTCAGTACTAAGTCCGAATAAAGTGGGAAGGAAGTTTGTATTGGGAATTATTTTTTCCGTATGGGTACTTACGTATTGATACCTGCTATGCATAGTAGGAACTTACATTCGCCCAAGGATGTACCATACTGAGACGCTTGGGTAATCGGCTTCCAACCAGCAGCAGGCAATCCGAACAGCACATTAATCATTTATCATGTATTAAACCACCAAACTTGGAGGAGTTGCATTTCGCCAACGAAATAACGAAAAATAACCATTTTAATAGTAATATTCATAAATAAAATGGTTTTATTAATTTATGACCTTTTTATCTTATGTTTCATTTGAAAATCCAAAAATTGATAGTGGTTTCACCAATAAATATAAGTGGGGAAAAAATTAAAATATTATACAGTTTTAAAAAAGTATAAATCTTAGTTTAAAAAAAAAATTCAAAAACTTTAATAGTTATTAGTTATTACTTCCATGATAGGTACTTTAAATAACCACAATCACGATAGGAAACTGTTGCTAAGAGAAATAAGAATTTTCTCATAAGAATTATTCATAATTATGTATAATATATTTATGTATAATGTACATAGGTAGGTATACATTTAAAATGTATCACACCAATGTGTTAATCTTTCATATTATGATCATGTTGCTAAGCTATTAGTATGTTGATATTTTATGATTAAATTATTTTAAAACAGTATTATTTCAGAAAAATGAAAAAAAATTTTAAAGTTAAACCAATAAGGGATTTTATCAAGGAATTCGATGATCCCAGACAGTAAATACAAAAAGGGCTAAGTGAGAAAAATAAGGGTTTTGTTTAAACTAACAATTTTCTACAGAATTCACCGTGCTCTACAAGAACAAAAAGATGCCTTTTCTAGACTGGATTTAATTAAAAAAGAAAGGGAAAAAATGGATATCGATATGGACAAACTTAACGTTGAGCTAGCGGAATTTAAATCATACGTACACGACAAATCGTTTAAAGTTGAAGTAAGTTATATTCAGTTCTATAAAGCATTTAAATACTGTTTTAAAGATTTTTTGAAAAAATTATTCATACAAATGCATTCTGAATATTTTTTTAAAATGTATTCGATTACGTATTCAGAATACTTTCATACTAACTTATTTCAAACACAAAATAAAAGTATTAGATTGGTCATATATTATAAATACGAATTATATATATATTCATTGTCCATTGATTTTCATTACATCGGATACTAAGCCATAAGTTCTGGTTTACATTGTATCGATTTTCTTCAACACCAACTTTTCTGGTAGGAATGTGAATCTATTTGTGGTGTATTCAGGAGGTCAAATATTTAAAATTCTCAATAGTTATCAAAAGCAACATTAAAAAAAAACAAAAAAATTAAGGAAAAACGGGAATTTATAGGAAAAACCAGTTTTCAGATTGGGTTTTTGATGTAAGTTTTACAAAAATGACCTTAGATACATGACATTTTCACTGAATATTTGTGTTAGCATTGTCTATACGACATACAATTTTAAAGGTTAGGTATATTTTGACTTGTGTTGAACTGTTTATAGGCATATTTAATTTTTGGTTTTTTTTTTTTAATACAATAAGGTTCCTTAGGTATAAGTTTTTATTAATAGAATTTTAAAAAAAGTTGAGCCTAAATCCATAATAATTTTTTATGGGCTTATTTTTTGTAAACTTAAAATGTTGATGAAATTTGTAAAAAAAAATTAAAATTAACAAGTTATTGTGAGTTAGAAATTCATAAAAATGTTTCTTTGTGTATCTAAGATAACAATTTAATGCAAGATTATGAATTGAAATTTTTACAACATTAGATTTACTCGATTTCTCTAGTAGCGATTTTCTTATTTTGTTGTAATTTAAAAAAAGACATACTGTAGACACTTGAGATTTACATTAAATGTTTATTTCATCAATTTACATACTTGACTTTATTTTCAAAATATTTTCACTCGTTTTAAGCTGTCGACGGACATTTTCAATTTTCATTTTTTTTCATTTTTTTCTTCTATAAATATCATTAAAATTATATTGGTTGGTTCAAAAAGCATGAAAATTGAATACAAGACTTTTGATATATTGTGACAATAGCAGTTGAAAAATATTAAAAATACATTAGCAAGATTTTTTTTATAAGCATTTAAAGTTCAATTTTTGAAAATATTTATCAAATTGAAAATTGAAAATGATTCTGTAGTTTAACATTTATTAAATTCCAATTTTTACGTCTAAGGATTGAAAATATAAAGCAAGGTTCCACTGAATCAGTTTTTTCCATAACTAAGAAATATAAGAAATATATGAATACAGTTATTTTTTACACACATTTGATAAATGAAAATAATATTAATTCAACTTACCGGCTGCCATATTAATAATAAGTAATAACAATATAAAATATCCTTGACTGACATACCGAAAAATATAACCTTTTTAAAAACATTTTATGATCTGTAATATATATAATAATATGATAGATAATAGTTATTAAACAATATTTACTTACATGTTATTACTTATTAAATATTTAAATTTATATTTATTTCGTGCGATTAAAAATAGGTTTTAACCATTAATAGGCCAATATGGATATTAGAAATACAGAATATTTTATAATATTCTATTTAATAATAAATTTTCTTCTATATTATTGTATTGCAGGACTATATAGACACGATTGACGAATGTGAAAATATTATTATAGATGAAAAATTGAAGCAGAACGATTATCATAGAAATATTAAATCTATTGGTATTAATATAAAAAAATTAGACAAAATCGTTCAAGATGCCACTTCTCGCATTGAAAGTTATAAACCTTACGAGGCATGTTTCAATGTTATGATACCTATAATATTCATACAACACCTATGAAATAATCGAAAAACTATTACTATTACAGTATCTTTTACACTTTATAAGATAACACTAAATAATACAGGCAGATTTTGTGATATTGTGATGTAGTATTGCGGGAATTGGAGTACTTTTACATTTTGAAAATACATACTTCAAAGTGTTAACCCTTTTGAATTGTATGCACCTAAAATGGAGCTTTAAATTTTTAAATATAAGTAGCAAGATCTATTTATGACACCATGATTTCAACTTTCATGAAAATATACTAATTAAATACTTAAAAGTAATAATAAAATAATAATATATACATATATATAATAGAATAATAAAAAATTTATTCATATTTAATACTTATAAGCTTACAAACATAGCCAAACAATCGGATCAATTTACACAGATTTGGACCAAAATCCAAAAATTATTATCCAGTGAGAAAATTAGAGTTTGCCGTTTCAAAAGAGAACAATTTGTATAAATATTGTTATCCCTAAAAGGGCTTACATTTTGAATATTTCCTTCGGCCTTAAATATCAATACAATTCGATTCGACAGGTCTCTAGGCTTTAATAATTCGTGTTAAATTGAATCGCTGAACACTCAAGATATGATACATATATTTTATAATGATTATGTATTGATATGTTATATAAGTTTGTCCGTCACAACTTTAGGAATTTATTTCAAAAGTAATTGCGAAAAATCCTCGATACGAAAATGTGTATGACATAATCAAGCATGTAGAGGAAATGGCTTGTATAAGAAACATAGGTTCAATATTAAAAATATCCGATTTGAAAGAAAAAGAATCAATCAATAACGACAGCTCCGAAGAGGTATTATAAATATTTTTAAGATTTTTTTGTAAACTCACCTAATTACTGTTAATCTTTAAATTTATCATAATTTTAGATTCAATATAAGAAACCTAAAAATCACAAACTAATTTTAAATGTGAACTTTAACGACGCTCGATCTTATCTAGATGATCTAAAAAAGGCGGATTTAATGTACATTAAGAGGAAGGCGCATATTAAATCTGAATATAACATTAAAGTGAGAAAACCCATTGTTAATTATTAAACGTTATAAATATTGTGCGTTTGAGATAGAATTGTGCACTAAGATATTATTTCCGGGCAATATAATATAAATAATAATTACTATTTACAATGTAAGGATCATTTAAAAAAAAATAATAGATGAAAAATATAGGTATTTATGATTTTTCATTTTACTCAAATAGGTATAACCCGTAAAAAACAGTGGTCCAAAAACTGAATTGTTTTCAGTATAATATCAGTTTTTGAACCACTGTTTTTTTGAAATCGAAACGGTTGCCAAGTGCCAAGATGAACTTAACTTAACCGCACGGGTTATGTACATACATATTTAGTTTAATTCTGTGTAGTCCTTACACAATTATTTTTAATTTGTCAATATTTCATACCATTAGTCATTTATATTATATTGTATGATTAGATACATTTAAATCCTGTCAATCAAATTTATCTCAAGACGGATCTGGAAAAAATGAAGGATAAGCAAAGATTTGCACAAATGGAAGACTTTCAAAATGAAATACAGGAAAGAGAAAAAGAAAATAACTTTGTATGATAACATAGAATTTTTATTTTTATAGTGAATTATTATGTAAATGTGAATGTTGACATTTTTTTTTTAAAGGTGATCAGTTCAATTTTACATCAGTATAGGGAATTATATCTCAAAAATAATGGAAAATTACCAACGGAATTTCCCATGGCAGAAGAACAGTTGGCATACATTTTTAATTTCTACAAGAAACTAGTAAAACGATTAGAAATTTATGAAAACTTAAAATCAGGCAAAAAAACAGTGAAAGATTACATTTCAGAAACAAAAGACTAAATTATTAGAACAATTTTTACACAAACTAATAAAAAAATGTTCTAGTAAATTGGTCCTTTGTTTCGAAAATATAATCTTTCACTATCTTTTTGCCCGGTTTTAGGTTTTCATACATTTTAAATTGTTTTACTAGCCAAATTGCAGAAATTAAATACGATACATTGTCTTTATAACTAAATGTAATGAATTAATGTTTATCAAATAAAATTATTTTTTTAATTTAATTTTTCAGTAACATAGTTATTATTACATTATTTCAGGGCTTGAAACCTTTCCTGAAAATTTGAAAACTGTTAACGGTTACTTGTAACTTTGAATAGATTACTGTAATTTGAAACCTATTTTTATTCCCAGTTATCATTAACCGTGACGATTTTTCAGTGAACATAAAAAGTTCTAAGAACATAATATTATGTTTTAACCGGTTAACTAGTCTTTAACTAATATGTTTAATTTATTTTAAATAAAGAAAACTACATAAATTAGTATGATGATTCAAATAATTGGTATTCTATAACATAAATTATAAACTTAATATCATTGGTCGGGCTACATGACATAAGCGCCAAAGGTACAAAAATGACCTATCATTTGCGCCAAAATTTGTATGACATAAGCGCCAATCTAATATTGTATACCTGTTGTACTTAACACATGGCATAAGCGCCAAAGGTATAATAATGACCTATCATTTGCGCCAAATTTAATATTTTATTTCATATAATATATTACATTAAAAAAATGTTCAATAATAAATTGTTAAAATATAATATGAGTATAGGTATGTATACATGCAATAAATATAAATTTAATAAATTGGTTGAGTTTTTGTAAAATAATACATTTATCGATTAAGATTAAACGTTTGGAGTTTTTGATCGATATAGTTCTAATTATAATATTATCTGTTATTTAATATCTTTTAACCGTAGCACCAGTGGCGGCTCGTGGTGTTCAAAGTAGGCGGTGTGTAATTATTGCAAAAGTTTATTTTAAAAAAATTAGTCTGTTTTAAGCATAAATGTAATTAGTAAAATATTTATTAGCATTTTTAATTTTGAGATTATACAGTTTTAGAAAATAATATTAAGTACTTTAAAAAATATTAATTCGGAGTATAATAATAATTGTCGTTTGTTTGTTTTTAAAATTTAATTTTTTTATATAATAAATACAGTTAAACAGATATTTGTTAAAATTAATTTATTATTATACATAAATGCATTATTATTATACATTTTCACTATTATATCTAATTAATATATGTGGTGAGCTCACACTTGCACACCTAGGCACGAGCCGCCACTGCGTAGCACACAGGTACCTAGAATTTTGGCGCTTATATACGATACGATTTTGGCGTTTTTGTAAAATACGATTTTTTTTCTCATCTCATTTTGGCGCTTATGTACGATACGATTTTGGCGCTTTTGTAAGGTACGATTTTTTTTTTCTTATCACATTTTGGCGCTTATGTCTTTCACCGATTGGTCGGTACTCTGTAGTCCTGGTCTCCCTTCTGTGTATTGTACTGAGAATTCTAAAATATAATGTATTTGGTATTGTCACAACTTATAAATTATAATCATGAAGATAATATTATACAATAATAATATATAGATAATTATGATTCCTAATACCTATTATAGGTATATATACCTACTGGCTACTATGTATATTATAGTGTGTTATTGATTATTATTTATTGTTATGTATTCGATTCTGAATTAATGTATTGTATTTACAATGATATGTTTGTTGTTTTTTTCTGTCATCAACATTTGTGGTAGTATAAATGCTTCAATTTTTGACAGCAGCTTATGTTGTGATAAAAAAATGGAATCTAGTTGGTACTTTTGACAGGTAAAAATTGAAATAGCTTTATAAAGTGAGGCGAAATATAAAATAAAAAGTGAATAAAATGGTTAGTTTTACACAAAACCAATTTTTTAAGAATAATAAATTTTATTTTTTTGGTGTAACTCATATACTTACCGTAGACACTTAAAATGTTCACCGAATATTTATATTATAATTTTCCATATATTATGGTTACCTTTTCGAAATATTTTGATTCCATTTAAGTTATTAATAGCATTGATACATTTTTCAAATTTTGTATTTTTTTTTAAATCAGTGTCGACAGTAACATTTTTATTACAACAATAAGTTGATAAAACATTTTGCGCTCTGTCAAAATACTTAAACATTCAATATAATGTTCCTCATAATATGTTGTAGATAAAAATTTAAAAAAAAATTAAGCTTTAATCCTCAATGATTTATTACGAGCTTATAAATTTTGGATTTAAAATTCATCAAAATGTCGACAATTTGCAAATTATTTTTCAGTTAGAAATGCATAAAAGTTTTTCTATTCATTCCTTACATTAGAAATTTTAATATGAGATACAACCCAAGTTTTACTATCTTTATCTATATAAAAATGTTTCCCAGAAAGTTATGCTATTAAGATTATTTATTTATACGGGAAATTCCTTTTGATAATGATATAATTTACAAAGTAAATACAAAGTAATGTAGGAGATAAAGTAACTTAATGAGTTAACAAAAATTAGAGAGTAGACTAATAAACAAGAAACAGTAGTTAGTGAGTGAGCAATATAATAAAGAAGTGTAACAGACAACTATGACTTCTGAAAATAAAACTGTGAGCATAGAAAATAGCAGTTAAGAGTAAGAATCTAGGAAGGAAGGGTCATTATTAGCATTAGTCATTAGACGTCTGAGAGGTTCGTATTGTTGGTATTTTGCGGTGACATTGGGAATATGGAAAGAGATATTAGAACGTGTAGAGCGAGGAGGAATTTTAAAATTTATCAAGGAAAGTAAGGTGGGAGAGTCAATTTTGTTGAGTATAAGATCATTGAAGAACTTAGAGCTAAGCATACGTCCACGGTCAGAAAGGGTATGTAGCACAAGAGCATCAGCAACGGGTGAGTGATCATGAGGTTCATGTGGAATACCTAAGGAGAAACCAAAAAGCTCAGAAACTTACGTTGTACGTGCTAAAGTTGGTTTGAGCCGGTGGCCGTGTATAAGGATTCCAGATTACCAATCAATATTCTAAGATGGGTCGAACTAGAGCACTAGAGCACAAAACCAAGAGTTGTAAGTGATTTACAGCAAATTATTGAAATGTGCTCACTCGGATTGAGATTACTTGATAATTTGAATCCCAAGTCAAGTATAGAGTCAAAGACCCATTCGATGATAGTGTCAGAGAGTTTATAATTCCATAGAATTGGATTCTGAGACCTGGAGGAGGTTATGACCTGGCATTTAGCAAGATTAAGCTTCAAGCCAAAAGTTTTACACCACATAGAGAAACACTCAAGATTATTTTGTAGACGTAAACAGTCGTCAATTGATTTATTTTTCAAATATATTTTCATGTCGTCCGCAAAGCAAAGTATTCTGGCAGAAGGAAGAGCATTTTTAACACTATTGACGAATAAAGAAAAGTATAGGTGATGGGTGACCTTGAGGTACACCAGAAGAAGACGGGAATACGTTCGATTTTATACGATTATTATTATATTTTTTTGTTAGTTATTAAATTTGATTATTTATGTTAGTGCAAATTAAAAAAAATGTTTAGAGTAAATCCACAATAATTTTTTATGAGAGTGTAAACTTAGAATTTTGACAAAATTCATAAAAATCAATAAAATTAGTAAATTATAATTAGTTAGAAATTCATAAAAATTATTTTTTTATATCTAAGATTAAAAAATTTAATACATGATTTCTTACAAGTTTGTCAACCACCTTTATCAAAAAAAAATTTCAACCGGAAAATCAAATTAAATCTTTATGAGCGTTTGAAGACCGACGTGAAGTTGGCACTCCGACTTTATCGTATCGTCCCCAAACCAATACCACATTTTTGCAAATAATTTGCAACAATTCGCAACACCAGTTATAAATTTGCAACAATTTTTTTACGCTAGGAAAAATAAAATTCGTTCTGGGTCCTAAATTCACGTTGCACCCAGACTTTATCGTATCGTCCCCAAACTAGTACCATATTTTTGCAAATAATTTGCAACGATTTGCAACACTGGGAAAAAAATTTGTAATAATTTTAAAATAAAATTCGTTTGGGGTGCCAAATTCACGTTGCACCCTTACTTTGTAACCAATATCATGTTTTTGCAAATAATTTGCAACAATTTTTGTCTGACCATTTTGACAGTTAAATGATCAACTTTGGTTCGCTAGGTTATATTAACTATTGTCCTCTAGAGTTTAGAATAATATGCATCAATACTTGTAACTGAAATACCTCATTTACAAGAGCTAAATATTTTTTTCTTATAACTACCTATGTATTTAAGAGGATGCTACCCATGCATTTGTGCTCTCCATCTTACACACGTACGACATACCAAATTTTTGTTCACTTGTTTCAATAGTGAGCTGTTAGTTTTGATACTAAAGTGATTTGACCTATTATCAATTTTTTATATAATAACATTATCTGTGCTTAAGCGTTGGCTTTTATTGGCTATTTTAATTTTCAAGCGAGATATGAGCATTTTTAATTTTTGGTATATCACATACCCATATCTTGCTTGAAAATGAAAATTTTGAAATATCACCAAAGCTTAAGCACAGATAATGTTCTTACCCAAAAGTTATATAATAGGTCAATTCTCTATAGTATTTCACTAGCCCCCCCCCCCAAGTTACAAAATCGTTATTTTTTCTTCACCATTAATTAGTGTGGAATTTGTGTGAATTTGTATGAATATTTTCAGAATTTGTGCGACAAAGAATTTACGACGAATTCAAAAAAACTTTGAGGGGCTGGTGAAATGTTCGCTGGCCCAGCCTAAGTGTAATTAATCGACTTTTCTAGATTTTTTTACCAAAAATTAGTGCACATTAGTGTGAATTTGTGTGACAAAAATAGAAATTTTCGAGCTACCCTTAATCCTTAACCCCCTATATAACATTTGACCGTTTTGGCCATTTCCCCCCACCCCCCCTCGATGGTGAAAATCCTACTTTTCTTCACTTTTCTTTTACCAAATATTAGTGCGCGATTAGTGTGAATTTGTGTGACTATTTTTAGAATTTGTGTGACAACTGTTAAACTCGGAAAAATATTATTAATTTATAAATAACTCTAAGTTAGATATATGCCCTTAATTACTATATTTAAGCAAAGAAATACATGAACATTCATTATAAGTTATAGAACTACAGATCTCATAGGTACAGTTTATGGAAAATGTAATTTAAAAAGAACAAATACAACAACAGTCAATAGATACAACCCTTTAGCGAATAGTGGTAACCATATTTACCACTGTTCACTCGTTGGTCACTCAAAATTGTTCTTAACAATAATTGAAATATTTGATTTATCAAGCAACCAGTGTAGCCATACCGACGATAGTTTTATTTTCTTAATCACAGGAAAATTTAACACGATATGAAGTAATCAATTATTTTTCGCTCCCTTTCGAAAAGATAATATCCAAATTCAAATATGATAGGGTCGTGAAAATGAACTGATTAATGATTTCATTCGATTACGATTCGTGAATTTGCATCTCTACGATGTGAATACAATTTATATTTTTTAATATTAAATCAAGCATACAGGTATGTTTTAAATTTATACTCATATAATTTTATTAGCAAACAGGTATAGGTATATCAAATAAATAAGTAATTTATTTTTATGATTTTAGTATGGATGAAGATAGTGTAAGGGACTATTTATTTTCAATCACTGATGAGCAAGCTGAATGCTCTAATATTGGCGGCGATTCAGATTATGAAGACGGATTATTAATAACTAGTCCACAGCACAAAAATGCAAGAAGTACTTCATCACAATCATCCAGAAAATCTGATTCTCTAGCATATGAACCAGATGTAACCAAATCATCAATCACACCAGTATCAGGTATATCTCGTAGCACACCACCATCTACTCTCAATTTTTCTACAAATGATTTTGATATTATGAGTATGCCCATAGAAATAATTGGAAATGGTGACGTATCTACTGAAATAAATGTAGATTATATTGTTTCTCCTAACATTTTGCCAATAAGCAACAGGTTGACAAAAAAAAAAAGATTTCCTCAACCAACATTAATTTTCAAATGGAAAAAAAGGTTATAGACCTAAAACATTTAGGAGATTTGAATTCACACAACCTTTTGGACCTAAAGTACCTGTTGATATAAGTAGTCCAATTGATACTTTCAAGCTGTTTTTTGGTGATGATATTCTAAATACTTTCAAGACTCGATCTGAATTATATGCTGCTTAATGTAATCAACAATTTGTTACTTCAATTGAAGAATTACAAGTATTTTTTGGCTGTCTCATCATAATGGGATTTCATAAATTACCTACAATTCGTTTTTACTAGTCAACAGATGCACATTTTCAAGTTCCAAGGATATAATCTATTATGTCTTTAAAAAGATTTCTATCTATACTACGATTTATTCATTTAAATAATAATTTGACTATGACTAAACGGGGACATGTTGATTATGATAAATTATACAAAATGAGACCTTTGATCAACAAACTAAATGAAAAGTATTTTTCAAATTTCAACCCATCTAGAAATATTGCTATAGATGAAAGTATGGTTGCTTTCAAGAGAAGAACCACAATTTAACAATATATGCCACTTAAGCCAATTAAACGAGGAATAAAAATCTGCATGTTCTAAGACTGGATACCTACTACAGTTTGAAGTATACCAAGGCAAGCAAGATCTAGAAATTGGCCTAGGAGAAAAAGTTGTGATACATTTAGCTAATCTTTATGACAACAGAGGATATTATTTTTATTTTGATGGATTTTTCAGTAATATTCCCATGGTGAAAAGTATGGTTGAGAAAAATAATTTTGCATGTGGTACTATCAAATCAAATAAAAAATATTTTCCATCTAGTGTTTTAAAAGATGACAAAGAACTAAAACAAGGTCAGTTTGATGTAGTTACTTCTTTACCTATAAATATTTGTTAATTTATAATAAAAAGTTTAAGGTAAAAAACATTACTATTAATTCTTAAGTATAAAAAATTTGTTAATTCTTTTATTTAATTTTTGTTTTTTTATTATATAGGTGCAATATACATAATTAATTTTGTTTCAATTATTATTACTTATTGTTATTATAAATATTACATTTTGTTATTTTTATTATCTATAAAGAACATACATTTTGTTATTTTTATCAAATAAATATTAAAGATGTGAAAAGTATTCATCTATTAATTGTTGTCTTGCATTTCCTTCATCAATATGGTGTTCTATTATGTTCATATTTTTAATATCTGGTAAAACTATATCTAGTAGAGCTGGTGGATCTGTGTCTTTATTATCAATAGCTATGTTATGTAAGACACAACAGGCTACAATAACAGCTTGAGTAGTTTGTAATTTCAACCGTGATCCAAAAGATAATATTGGAAATCTTCGTTTTAGAACACCATAAGATCTTTCGACAGGATTCCTAGTCCTAATGATCGACTCATTATATAGTTCTTCAATGTCGTTTCTTGGATTTATGAAAGGTGTAACAATCCGTAGAGAATTTGCATAGCCACTGTCAGCTACTTTCAAACTGTTTCCCCATTCACCACTGTTTAACCTGTTAAAAAACCTTGATTTCTTGAGTATTGTATAGTCATGACATGATCCTGGCCAGCGTGCTACAACATCCATGATTTTTAAGTCAGGACATGATACAGTTTGTATATTCAATGAAAAGTATCCTTTTCGGTTTCTGTAGTATTCAGCATTAGGTCCACCTATATTAACATGTAAATAATTTTTATTTATACAATACCTACACAAAATAAATTCATTATCTGCTACTAGCGTTGTAGGAAAAAATTAAAAAATGTTAATATTTTATTTTTATTTTTTACAGTTTCTAATAATTAATAATTAATATAGCTACTTTGTTGTTCCTACAACAATAAAACAACACAGTTTTTAAGTATATAAGTTTATTAAGATGAACAAAGCAATAAAGATATTATGAATAAACTATACTCTATTTACCGAGAGTTGACCCACTCCGCGCATGCATACTGAGCCGCCGGAGCATTCATACTCCCCGAGTAGGAGACCGGCGGTCTGTGATTGGTCGGCGGTGTTCGGTGACCGACGGCGCTTGTCGTAGTAGGCAGTTGCCGCCGTGCATACGGAATGTTACAAAAGCATTGGTACGAAAATTACGATTATACGTCTATTATATTATTTTTTTTATATACTATCCATAGCGAATTATATTGATGAAAAAATAACAAATACGGAAAAAAAAATAGTCGTAAAAAGAATAAAATCGTAATCGTTGGCAGAAGTGCGGTAGGACGTACGCGGAGGTAGCGTCGAAACGTTGTGAATACAATCACTACGTAAACACCAACTGCCGCCGCGACGATCACCACTAGCGCTGAAACGAGCGGTGGCATGCGCAGCCGCGACCGGTTTTCGTCGTGGCGAGTGGGTCAACTCTCGGTAAATAGAGTATACTTGTTATAATAATATTAGTTTATAAATTCTAAATAATAATTCATTGAATTCTTTTTTTTTTTTATTAGTTTTTAACTATGATCATTAGCATTTTGTATGGGGTTACGGTGGGTCTGTGGGAGGTTTTGGTTGATTTTGAACAACACGTTTGTATAATGTGGGAAGAGGATTCGTCACTATAAGAACCCGGGTAGTGGTTTTCCATTCGGGAGCTAGAGTCACCGGACTATGCTTGAATGCAGCACACATTTCCCCGGAACACCAGAGATGAAATTGTTGTTGTACAAAAAAAAAATTATTGAAAAAAAAAGTGGAGTAGGACGCACTTGACGAAACACTCTGTTTAGCTTTTTTCGTGTCTTTTTCGTCAGTGGATAATTTATCCAATTATACCTTCATATTATGTATAACATTTTAATATTCACTTGTGGTCATGGATCGTCCAACTCACAATTTTTTTACATTGCTTTTTTAATTAATAATACTCAATAACCTCATAAGTAATAAGAACGCACGCGCTGTTTGCATGTTGCGTTATATAGTATTAACGTGGTAAATACAATATTATGAATTATGATGTATGAGAAACATAGACTACATAATATAGTCATAGTTGTGTATCAGCTCTTATAGTATTATATAACATTAATACCAATATTATCTTGTATTAAAATTATCAACTAGTGTCTACTAGCACCCATTATAATATAAGATTAAAATGATAATTTTAAATCGTATCATTGTTATAATAATGTAATATAATTGTATTACAACTTTTAAAATTAGAAGAAAGTCTATTTAAAGGTTTCATTAAGAGCCAATCCAACCTGGTGTTCGTCTGTGTCCCGTGTGCCATGCTATCCGAGAGTGTGGGGCTGACGGGGGTTTCAGCAATTCTGTTATCCGCTTGTATTTTGGCGAAATCTCATTTATAAATTCTCAAAAGTTAGAACCATTATAAAATAATATTTTAGAAATAAAACCTAACACAGTACAATGCGAGCTGGAAATCGGAATTTGAAGTAGAACGCTAGAATGAAAAAAAGTATTTAATATTCTTGAATAAAAACACAATTAAAAAGTATGTTTTAAGTATTTAAAATACATTGGTCAAAAAGTATTGAAAAAGTATTTGAGATACAAAAAAAAAGTATTTCGATACAAGTATTCAAATACTTTAACAATACTTTAAACACTATAATATCGGATGGCACGGACAAAAATAAAACAATTATACCAGCAGCACCATCTACCGATAAAAATGAATGGAAAGGTTGCACTCAATCTTTCAACTTCAAAACTAAAATATCAAAAAAAAAGTTAACTAATATTTCGCACAGGGCTCAAATTTGGAAAAAAAAATTGTTTTACGTTATTTAGTATCAAACCGTTAAACAATTTTTGTGTTAAACGTTACTTAAAATTAAAACGTTATTATTTGTTTACGTTTATCGTTATTGGAAATTTAAACGTTTTCATTTTTACGTTCAAATTTTTAACATCATTAAAAATTAAAACATGATGTTGTACCTATTACATTTTCACAATTAAAATAATATTATAAACAATAATTTATAATTGTAAATATAAATTTTCAATATTACGTTTATTGTAGATGTTTAATATTAATTTAATTTAAACATAAAATCAGAAGTATATACCAAATTCTAAACATTACAGCTGTTTGATCCACTAAATTCAAATTTTTAAGTACTGCATGTAATTTTGTTATCCACGTAATTTTCAGAAACAATATATGTGTGATGTAGCCATGTAGGACACTCTTAACTAAAAAAGGAAGACAAACATTATTCAATTTTCTATTTAGACAAAGAAATGCCCGTACTTTTTATATTTTAAATTATAACATAAGAAATCACTTTGTCATTAGGCTTAAAAGTTATTTTGATGTCTAACAGGAAAAATGACACAAAACTAAAGCTGTGTAAGTGTGTAACTTTGATAAAATTGATACAGTTTTGGTAAAATACTGTATATCTAAGTAATTATAGTCTACCGTTTTTTAAAAAAAAAGGAAAGCTTTAAATTCTGTAAACTGTATGTTAATCAATAAATATGTACACAAAAAGCAAGGCAAAAAGATATATATCATAATAAATCTAATCAATAAAAAAAAATAATGTTGCTCCACGTAGAATAGCGTGGGTATTTCTTACTCATATTCTTAGTTGTTTATAGTTAATACTTTCAGAGCTATGAATTATGATGCTAACTATTATTCCAATTGGTTCCTGAAATGTGAAGTAACTATTTCTGTTATTTTTAACATTTATTTTCCATTATATTTTTAAATTGGCGACTTTCGATTTCACTGATTTCCGTGTACAAATAAACATGTTACATTATACCTGCATATTCACACAATATAACCGGGCACAAATTTAAAAATAAATTAAAACCATAGAATGCCAATGGCTATTCGTGGAATTCAATCTTATTGAAATAACCTATAAGTTATATGTTCATTATAATAATATTATATTATTAAATATTAATTCTTTATATTATAAACGTAATTATTTATCATATTTTTATAGTTATAATATTATGTATAGTACTGTATACTCAGGGGCGTGCCGAGGAGGTGGTTTTGGGGGTTCAAACCACCCCCAAATTGATTGGCTTATTTTTTTCAACTTCGTGATATTTACAAAATAAAAAATAACATTAACATAATATTATGGGGAAATCCGATAATATAATAATTAATATAAAAATAATACAATATTTGACGATCTTTAGTTTTTATTCCCTTTAGTACATTTCTGCGTATTTTATATTCGTGGTACAACGGCAGGTTCTTAACGCTGTTTTTGGGTTTTACGTTAAATTGAATGAAATCAGTTTTCTCGTTGCCATGTGGGTCTTATCGATGACATAATAATAATTTTATTACAACGAAAGCAAATCATAAATATTTGTAATCTTTCACATCATTTCTGTAACTGACAATACCGAGTACCGATACAGTATTTTCAATTTAATTGTGTCGTTATGAACAGTAAAATAAACCTACTCTTAATTTGTGTATAATCTTTCATTTAGTTAGTGTTTACAACGATTGGTGATCTGTTGTACTCTTACGTTTTATTATTTTGAAATTTATTTTCATACAGTTATTATTATCTAAAATTCGCCAACATAATTGTACATTAAATTGTGAAGAGATAAACAACGAATTTAAAAAAAAGGTTAGTGACAAATTATTTTATCTGAAAAAAATTAAAATATAAAATGTATAATTATTGTTTTAAAAAAAATTAAGCGTAGAAAAAATAATAAAAAATAATTCGTCAATCATATTTTTATAAATAAAGTTATAGTTACATATTATCAGGGCTCGTAAGTTCAGGCATTTGCATGTTTTTTTTGCTACACAGAGAAATATACTAACTGAGATACAAATCCGTTTCATAACAATAGTAATAATAATATGAAGTTTAATAATGCATGTTTTTGCATGTTTTAGGTGTAAAGGCATATTTGGCATATAATCGTTTTTTTAGAGTTTATAGCCCATTATATTATTTCATAAAAAAATTGTTTAGAAAAATATTTGAAATGTTTCTTGTTTCTTATTTACTTTCCCGTTTACTGAATGATAGTGTTTTGATTTATTTTGATTTTCGTGTGACTACTGACTTTTCTAGTATTTCCCTATTTGGATTTTATGCGTTTTACTTAGTACCGCGGAAACAATTCCGTCGTCGAAACGATACCTGTGCAAGCATGTACAGGTGTCAGGTATGTAGTGTTCTTGCACACGCCAGTCGCCGATGAGTTGTTTAACTGTA